TATTTCAACAAGAAGCGATTTAAACAAAAATTATGTACAATATCTCGAATTTATACAAGTACCTAAAAAGTGTACAATCACATTGTTACGTACTCAACACTCCGCCCTATTACATTTATGTGGTACTTTTGACATAATTATGTTCATTAATGAACTTCTACTGGAAACAGCCAAGACAATTTACCCAATATAGACTATATAAGTGGTTAAAATCAAAACTTAACAGACAAAAGTCAAGTTAAAGTCTTTTTAAATGTTCTTGAAGTGAATAACACAACAAAACAGCGATTTGTCAAAAACGTGAAATACGTGAAAAAAGCACTCCCTTTCAAACAGCGCGCGACCAGTATTATATCTATTATTATTACTATTATTATTATTATTACTATCTCTTTTCTCTTGTCGACGATACCGGAGGACTAACTGGCGAAAGGATCAAATCCATTCACAGTAGTAACAGTCTTAACACACCTCATACTACAAACCACATAAAATTAATCCCGGCACTACTCCTTCTGGAGTCAACAAAAGCTACGACAGTCGGTTGGCGGGACGAGCTACGCAGAAGTTCACAGAAGATCAGGAACCTATACCTTACAATCAAGAAGCGAGCACAAAGAAATCAAATTGGTTTATACTAGCTCGTAAAAACGATATTGGATTACCTTATCTTAGAACAGTGGCGGTCAATTGGGTATTTGATTTGGGTAGGTGCTGGGATAGGATGAGAAAAGATAGCGGCACAAATGGCTTATGGAGAGGCTGAGCACTTCAAGGTCACTTATGCACGCTGTGATTGGTAGATTTTCCTTTGCGTAAACGTTGCGGCTAATACGTGCCTTACGTTACTGAAGCGGGCTTTGAAATAGCAATAATAAAAGCGGATAGACATTATATTTTTTAGCTTAAGGGACCAAGTTAACATGCTTATAAATTTCACAGATGTGAGAAGCATTAGATCCACTTACAAGGAGAATACTACTGGGTAACTTGATCAAAGAAATATAAAGTTTGAGGATTTTATCTCTTTCAGTTAATTGTAACGGATGGATAAGAGTCACGTGTATAATATTTGCTTTTTATAGAAGAGAAAATGTGACAGGTGGTTTGGAAGTTACACAATTCCTGAAATATATCGTGGAATATATGGACGAGTAATCTATAGAATTTCACCAACTCTGTGGTTGTTCCTTGCTTTGTTCACATATTCAGTGTTGCTAAGATTAGGAATTGTTCACAAGAGGTAAGATTAATTTACCTGATATGTATATATCCTCAGAATTTTCTCAATATGGCTGAATGCATTCGAAGGAATACAATCTCAATCTCTGCTTGAAAAGTTCATATCTAGTTTCTGCGAACGGATCTGGTGATGACGAAAACTGCAAAGACTGGTTCAACACCACTAACAACGGAAGCAAACGGATACAAATGTTGTGGATAGAGTGTTTGGTGGACTTAATGATGACTATGATGCAGCTACAAAAAAACTCTACAACTGTGATTTTTTCACTGGATTGCTATTAACTCTCTTTAGTGTAGATATGTACTCTTTCATTCTGAGTCATTTTTAACTTGATTGATTATTGTTTCCTTACAAATATATGCATTTATGTTGACTAAGATTGTCTCTTTCACTTATCATTTGGACGACATTGCAGAGCTAACGAGAATATGGTAGGCAACGTATTAATACTTATGTGAAATGCGTCAGTCTTAAAATATTACTATTTCCTCAATGGATCATCAAGCCTTGCGTAAAGTGTTTCAGTTGCGTATAATATTGGTATTCGCGATTGTTAAGAAAGTAGCCGTCAAACATGTTTTCGCACTGTAATAACGAAACATAACCTAGCAAATATGGGTTCTATACGTACACGACTTGTAGTGGTAGTCTAGGCACTTCATGCGCACTATGCAACGTATATCCTATTTATCACGAATAGTCTGCTATTCTTATGTTGCGTTTAACACTACTACCTCAAGGGAAATCGTTGCGTAATAAAGAGATAACTACATTACTCTTCTTGTGCTATCATTTCGTATTAATAGGCTCTTACATGATCACATTAACACTCAGACTCGTGCATTAGCTGATTACGTCACTAAATTTGATTGATTACTTTGTTATCATAAAATACTGTAACGCATTAGATAGGCTTTTGTTGTGCATATCGCCTGTTTGAGGTTTACTAGCGTAAGCGATAACAGTACCCCCATCGTGTCTAAATTCAACCAGGTGTAAATATGGCACTTTACCAATATTATATCTTCTACACTAGCATCACTTTGCAACTTGACAAACAGTAAGTATTATTAGTGTACGAATAAGGTGCAAAAATTTTAAAACAATATTTATTTCGACAAATACATTCATAATATCACAAATATTTCATCAATTACACAAATATCATCCTTTTTAACCCCACTGGAATGTCTAAATGTATTGAGTGATTGCGGAATTGAAGACCATAACCTGGAAATTAAAAATGACAAAAATTCAGTCAGGAAATGATGGGCGAAATAAATAACTTGAAACACAGTACCTACCAGTTAAATGACTGTTTATTCACCGTTATCTGACGAAATTACCAACTCAGTTTCCTTTATTACTGTGAAATTTTGTAAACATAATGAAATCATAATTACCTAGATATTTAACTCCCTCCTAATCATTTACGTAAAATACACTGAAACAATTGGAGTTATTTTGCATTTTATATCATAATTGACATTTTCCAACAAATTCTGACATTTCTTATGCACCTCAGTATGTCAATTCCATAAAAAGAGAGCATTTTGTAAACACATTGAAAAAGACAACTTTTCTCACTTTTTACACGTTTTTTCGTTAAAATGCGATTTTTAAAGTCCATTTCTGTCGAAAAAACTACTAAAAACAACGTAGAATAGCCCAAACACAGCGCCACGATAACGCCTTAAAACTGCAGAAATCAGCTGATTTGTGCCTCTGTGTTTGGGCTATTCTACGTTGTTTTTAGTAGTTTTTTCGACAGAAATGGACTTTAAAAATCGCATTTTAACGAAAAAACGTGTAAAAAGTGAGAAAAGTTGTCTTTTTCAATGTGTTTACAGAATGCTCTCTTTTTATGGAATTGACATACTGAGGTGCATAAGAAATGTCAGAATTTGTTGGAAAATGTCAATTATGATATAAAATGCAAAATAACTCCAATTGTTTCAGTGTATTTTACGTAAATGATTAGGAGGGAGTTAAATATCTAGGTAATTATGATTTCATTATGTTTACAAAATTTCACAGTAATAAAGGAAACTGAGTTGGTAATTTCGTCAGATAACGGTGAATAAACAGTCATTTAACTGGTAGGTACTGTGTTTCAAGTTATTTATTTCGCCCATCATTTCCTGACTGAATTTTTGTCATTTTTAATTTCCATGTTACGGTCTTCAATCCCGCAATCACTCAATACATTTAGACATTCCAGTGGGGTTAAAAAGGATGATATTTGTGTAATTGATGAAATATTTGTGATATTATGAATGTATTTGTCGAAATAAATATTGTTTTAAAATTTTTGCACCTTATTCGTACACTAATAATACTTACTGTTTGTCAAGTTGCAAAGTGATGCTAGTGTAGAAGATATAATATTGGTAAAGTGCCATATTTACACCTGGTTGAATTTAGACACGATGGGGGTACTGTTATCGCTTACGCTAGTAAACCTCAAACAGCCGATATGCACAACAAAAGCCTATCTAATGCGTTACAGTATTTTATGATAACAAAGTAATCAATCAAATTTAGTGACGTAATCAGCTAATGCACGAGTCTGAGTGTTAATGTGATCATGTAAGAGCCTATTAATACGAAATGATAGCACAAGAAGAGTAATGTAGTTATCTCTTTATTACGCAACGATTTCCCTTGAGGTAGTAGTGTTAAACGCAACATAAGAATAGCAGACTATTCGTGATAAATAGGATATACGTTGCATAGTGCGCACGAAGTGCCTAGACTACCACTACAAGTCGTGTACGTATAGAACCCATATTTGCTAGGTTATGTTTCGTTATTACAGTGCGAAAACATGTTTGACGGCTACTTTCTTAACAATCGCGAATACCAATATTATACGCAACTGAAACACTTTACGCAAGGCTTGATGATCCATTGAGGAAATAGTAATATTTTAAGACTGACGCATTTCACATAAGTATTAATACGTTGCCTACCATATTCTCGTTAGCTCTGCAATGTCGTCCAAATGATAAGTGAAAGAGACAATGTTAGTCAACATAAATGCATATATTTGTAAGGAAACAATAATCAATCAAGTTAAAAATGACTCAGAATGAAAGAGTGCATATCTACACTACAGAGAGTTAATAGCAATCCAGTGAAAAAATCACAGTTGTAGAGTTTTTTTGTAGCTGCATCATAGTCATCATTAAGTCCACCAAACACTCTATCCACAACATTTGTATCCGTTTGCTTCCGTTGTTAGTGGTGTTGAACCAGTCTTTGCAGTTTTCGTCATCACCAGATCCGTTCGCAGAAACTAGATATGAACTTTTCAAGCAGAGATTGAGATTGTATTCCTTCGAATGCATTCAGCCATATTGAGAAAATTCTGAGGATATATACATATCAGGTAAATTAATCTTACCTCTTGTGAACAATTCCTAATCTTAGCAACACTGAATATGTGAACAAAGCAAGGAACAACCACAGAGTTGGTGAAATTCTATAGACTACTCGTCCATATATTCCACGATGTATTTCAGGAATTGTGTAACTTCCAAACCACCTGTCACATTTTCTCTTCTATAAAAAGCAAATATTATACACGTGACTCTTATCCATCCGTTACAATTAACTGAAAGAGATAAAATCCTCAAACTTTATATTTCTTTGATCAAGTTACCCAGTAGTATTCTCCTTGTAAGTGGATCTAATGCTTCTCACATCTGTGAAATTTGTAATCATGTTAACTTGGTCCCTTAGGCTAGAAAACATAATGTCTATCCGCTTTTATTATTGCTATTTCAAAGCCCGCTTCAGTAACGTAAGGCACGTATTAGCCGCAACGTTTACGCAAAGGAAAATCTACCAATCACAGCGTGCATAAGTGACCTTGAAGTGCTCAGCCTCTGCATAAGCCATTTGTGCCGCTATCCTATCTCGTAGGTGCTATCGGGTTCTGTTTTGTGTGGTTGTGTTTGCGTCGTTTGCCAGCATATGTGATGACTATAAATGTAAATTTTTACTATTCTAACGCTTTGATTTTCTTTATTTGTGCATGTACTAGGCCTGGTTTGTCCAACACTCCGTTGTTTGGCCTATCGGTTGCTTGCGATGTCAACGAACCGGTGGGTTCTTTTGCTTTTCTGTAATTTAGGGTATACGTGCGGTATTTTCTTGAGGGTTATTGATCATTCATGTATTTCAATGTTGTTTTTTTACGAATTGGAATAGTTGTGACATAGATGAATACTAACTGACAAATCCATTTTAGTTCGTTGCAGGTAGTCAATTCGAGTGAAAGGAGAGCAGACGTAAGTGGAATTTTCGGTGAAGTAATACTTGGAAGGCGTTTCTTCAGCTGGGACGAATTTGAGAAGTCGTTAGCAGAATTTCAAAAAGTGAGGAAGTCATTTAAAGCTTACAATGTAGTTGTCCTGCACTCACTATGTTCATACCAACAGCAAAAAAATACCGGATGACAGATTTAAGTACGCTTACGTTGGTTTTAAATGCAGTTTTGGAGTGAATCGTACAGGACCTGGGTTGAAATTGAAAAACAAGCCGTAAGAAGAAGTATACTATGATTTGATGAATATTTAAGGTCTAAGTGTTGCAATTGTACGTCTTCATTTCGCGTGGTATTGCGTTTTAGTGAATACATAATTGCTTCCCACAAGATGGTACATAATCATCCATGCAGCAGGGTGTACATGCAGCATGACCCCTGGTTTAGACGACTAACGGTGGAAGAGAAAGAAAACGTGGAACTACTCCTTCAGCAATCCCATTCATCCGATGAAATAATAATGCATGTTAAGGAGAAGTTCCAGAAGGATATAACTCGTACCGACGTTAAAAATATGAAAGCCGCAGTTAATAAAGGTAACGTTGACGTACTTGTTAATTACTTAAGGTATTTCGAGCAAATTTAGAGAAGTGTTTGCCGCTAATTATTGAGCAGAAGTAATCGCAGGAATCAGTCGTGTTCTTAATATGTAAATAAACTAAGTCTGTATCATAATTAAAATGAACTTTTCATGTAAATCTTGTTGTCTTTCAATTCATATGTTCGCTTTGTGAGCACGGCATGCTAGACCAGTGCTCCCTAGGACTTTAACTACTGTACGTAAGTATAATTCTGTAGGAACAATATCGGTCGGTATACGTGGTAAATTATAAGTATCTTAGTGAAGTTACGTGGATACGTCTCATAGTCATATGCAAGTCTTTAGGGACCAATGACAACAATAGGCAGAACTTAGGCACTGCATTCGAGTTCCAGTTCGTATACGGTTAGGTGTATTCAAAAGTATTGCATTACTAATGTTTTACTTAAAGCTTGATGTCAATCCATATGACTACGGCTGTTAACATTTAGCGTAAAATGAAGTCTACACGAGACAAATTATTGAATTCGTTGAGCTGTAGCAATCGTAGTCAGATTTACCTTACACTGAAATATGCCACCAATCACTTTGTCTCATTGATAAGTCATGCCTGCATCTAGTCGTCATGACAAATATAGTTTTACTCAGATAGAATAAGACAGGTATTGTTAGCAGGATGTTAAATATATTTAATTAACAATAATAACAAGCAATGGTCTTTAAGCAGTTGTAATTACTTCGGCGACGTCGAATTGTTGTTACCAGGCTGACTAACGTTAACGGATGTCTGCAAATAAGTAAACTGTATTTTTCTAAATCGCTGAAGCAAGAAAGAAGTAATGTTAAACTTGAACGCTTTATGTTTACCTAACTTTTCTGAAAAAGATTCATTCTCCTTTATCATTCTTCGTTGAACTCTGGAAAGATGATTTCCAAATGTAAAAGGCAATCACTGAAACTGTAAAAATATTTTATATCTATTCGTAATTTTTCCTTTGATGCAATTTCTTATCGACAGTTTGCAGTATTCATAGTGAGTTTATAGGAACCTTCATTGTATCATGATTTTCACCAAATTTCCCTTAACGCACAGAAGCATGCAGTAACCCCAAACACTCAAGCATTGTAACTTGAACATCACAAAATCCTTACAGATAACTTGTTTAATAATAACTGCTTCAAAGATATGAGCCATTGGTGCATCTTCCATATCCCTCGTAGCCCAGGTAAGTCATTAAGGATCTCAGAATATCTTAGTGATCTGAAACCAAATAATTAATAAGACTGATATAACTTATGTAACAGATGTAGTAGTTGTATGACACAGCTTCTGGTTACTAATCGACAGAAAGCTGATACTAATTTTAAGTAGTTTGACATTTTAGAAAGACCATCCATACTATTCTTCGTGCCCCAATGCACACTGATATCAACATAATCTGATGCCATTTTATGCACTGAGCAACTACGGTCTTCTGAAATTCCATGTGCAAATGTAAATGAAACTAGTATCACATATTCGCTTAAGCAGTTTTAACTAGGAACTTCATCAAAATAGATATAACCACCAGGAAATTCAGCAGCTTGTCTCATTCTTCGCATGATCTCGTCGATGTGTTATGGAATATTTCACTCGGCACGGATGATAACAGAGGCGTTTAACATCCTAAAAACAAACATCTAACTTATGTCTGCAGGCTATTTCTCTTTCACATGCCCGACTATCATAGAATAACTGGAGTGACAAAAGCCATTGCCTGTATTCTATTTGTCTGTCTGGATTCAACATAGAACTTGGCACCGAAGTGCACCAGTTCCAGTTGCCACGTTCCAAATAGCACACAGAGGTAGACAAGAAGATGAGTGAAGAGAATCAATAGAGTTTGACAAGTATAAGAGCGAAACAGAATGGGTAATGGTAGAAAGGAATATGAAAGATTACAGAGACTGAATACATATGCGCTGGCCATTGACAACGATTTTGAGCCATGTCACCTATTGTCTCCAGACATTGATTCCTAGAGTCCCGAGGGCCCCAACCCGGGAGTCTGCATCTCCCTACCTGACTCAGTTTAACTGTCAAGGATTTCATGGATTGATGAGGCCATGTTTTTGTTTGACCACCACTGGCTCTTTTCCAACCTGCACCTATATCAGCTAGCAATGCCCGTCGGGGGAGGCGATGGTTAGGCATGCGCAGCACCGGACCTAGCCATCTCAATCTATGTAACTTTATAGCCTCGTCGATTGATTTTCCCTCTTCGCCCAACACTCTACGCCTGACGTCAACATTACTTACCTCATTAAACCACCTAACGTGAGACATAGATCGCAGACATCTATGATCGAAAGCAGTCAACCTTTTCATGTCTTCAACTCGTATTGGCCATGTTTCAGAGCCATAGACAAGGACGGAGCGAACTGTTGAGCAGTACACACGTCCCTTGATTGATAGCCGGATGTCACGCCTACGCCAGAGATGATGTAAGTCAGCAAAAGCAGCTCGAGCTTTTCGGATCCTTGCTGAGATTTCATCGCCAATCAGTCCGTTGGTGCTAATACAACTCAAATAGGTGAAGTGGTCAATATGTTCTATCACTTCACTCCGTATCACTGTTTTAGGAGTTGACGTAGTCCAGTCCTGTAGCAGCATCTTACATTTTACAGGGGCGAATCGCATGCCAAACATACGAAGATTGCTGTTCAAGGTGTTCAGAAGACTCTGCATTTTGTCATCATCCTCCCCTAACAGGACTATGTCATCTTTATATTCTAAGTCCATAAGACTATACCTTGGTAACAAGTCGATTCCTAAGTCATTTCGTTCAGTTAAGGATACTTCCATCAGCATATCTATGATGAAGTTCAACAGAAATGGGGAAAGTGGACATCCCTGTTGGACACCACTGGTTGTTATTCTATTTACAACCTTAAGATCTGAAACAAATCGCAAAAAACAAATCCTCAACGCACTATAACGCAAATAATAATCTTTCTATGCGAACTTTCTTAAAAGGGATAACTTTTTTATTAATAATTGGTCCTGGCTATAAAGACAATTTTACGCTTTACTACAAACAAAATACAGCCTTTTGGCTACAGATATCTAAAACTATTAAAATATAATCTAATTTCACAAAAATAAGCGATTATGACGCCTATAGGCGTGAGCGCGGTAACATATAAACTGCGCGAAAACAGGTGGTCTTAGCCTATATCCTCGCCCCTCGGAATAATGTGCCCTCATCAAAAATGTCGATTCATCTCTAACATACCGATAATAAATGAGAAATCAAATGGCTTAAAGGCCAAATACCAGTCCATGAATAATCCTTACCCAGACATTAATGAAAACAAAACTCATAGTTGAGCAGAGTGAATCTTTTGAACGAATTCTTTTTCTCTAGCTGTTCAGTCGCATCTATCTACACAAACCGAATATTAACAAAAGTGGTCAGTGATCACAAACATAGTTGTTAATGTTAGTCTTTGTATAAGAGGTGAATAAGTGGTGCTATAATGGGTGTGATAACCAAACACCTTGTCAACACTGGTCGTTCCATCTCAACAAATTCCTCCTACAAAGTAACCTACAGAGTGAAGAAAAACCTGCTAAAGCTTTCTTTTGTCTCCCTTGCACTGCTGAAGCTCTAGCCCGTCAGTTAGACCAACCTCAGCTATGCACACAAAAGAAAATTATTCAACCACTTCTACTATCAAGGTAACAACTTTGTTGATTTTTAATGACTTGATTCTTGTTTATTTGTTTTTTCTAACCTCTTATAACTCTTGTTTATCTCTAGAACTCTTGAGTAATTCCATATTTTCCTTTTTCTTCTATGTGTATCCCGATTTCAACCCATTCGTTAAATTATTCGTCTTTTTACGTAACTATAGTACACTATTCATCTCTTATGCATTGACGAATATTAACAGCTATGTTCGTGACAAGTGATCACTTCTGTTACTACTCTCTTTGTGTATATAATTGTCAGCTCATGATGAAATCCTGAGACCAATCAAATCCCTACAAACCAACACTTGAATAACAATGAGATGCTTTAGTGACTTGCCCTGTTCAGGCTGGTAGTTATCTGGGGTTATAGTGAGAAGTCATGACCAGAAGGGTGCAGCCGGTCGGGTGTGAGGACAAATACTCGCCGAAGATATTGGCTAGGGGTCACGCTATGTCGTGAATTGGCAGAAGTTAGAATTCATGGGCCATTGGATCGGGTCCCGGCGGCCTAATGGTATACGAGCTCGCCTTGTAACCAGAAGGTCCTGGGTTAGAATCCCGGTGGGTGCGTACTGATGAAGAGTCCCAAACTAGGACGGAGCTGCTGTCCAGTAATCCCAGCTGGTTTTCCAATGGTTCTCTAACTGATGTTAGCTCATGATGAAATTCTGTAACCAATCAAATCCCTAACTTGTATATGTGTTTGTACAGCTAGAGAAAATAAATTAGTCGAAAAGAGTCTCTTCGTTGAACCCCATGTTCTGTTTTCATTAAATTCCAGTCGAAAAGAGTCAATCAGTACCAACACAACGAGATGAAAAGATGAGAAAACCTCTGAAGATAACAATGTATAATCAGAGTTATTGATAGATAAATTTGCGAGCTAATCTTACAAAGAAGTTAACATTGAAGATGATGTCTAGAAGGACAGTGAAAAACCTATGCACTTAAAGAATCCAGGGTAGAGAGTAAAACAACACAAAAGAATAATTTCATAGTGTTTCATGGTTTGAAGTCAACAAACTAGCATTTCAGACTGGTGACCTTGACCGTGCAACAGAAGCTAAAAATTGTGTTACTGATATCATAAGGTTATTAAAAATCCTTGATTGAAGAATCTTGGTGATATAATCCTGAACTACTTCGGATAGTATTCAACTGTGAACAACTGTCAAGAGTTCTACTAATCGTCATCTTATTATCTGACATTCAATAATATACCTGTTTCTTTCTTTATATTATCTGCTTCTAATTATTACAACTTGCCTCTACATGTAGGCAAAATAAATAATGAAAAGATTTAAAAACAAATTTAACAAAATCAAAATTTATTAGGAAATAAAAAAAAATGAAATTAAAACAAAACAAATGATAACATGTACAATTAATGAATTAATAATTAAGAAATGATTGTTATTTTGTTTCCATTAATCTGGTATACTTTCACCACGAGATAATCTGCCAAGTTTAACTGGCAATAAACTAACCATTTCTTTAGCAATTCTAACCTCTTCACAATTTTTAATCAACGTTTCAGGATGACTTTTAATATGGTGCTCTGCAATATTGACTGTTTGTACATAAAATTCTAAAGCTTTTGTTAAATTCTGAATCTTTTCATTATTATCAAATGATATCTGATGGGAGTATAAACGAGCTGTATAAATATATGCCTTCTACAACAAAAAAAAAACAAACAAACGAAGAGACAAAATCAACGAAATTCACTAGAAAATTACTTATATAAAAATAAGTTTAAAAGACTGATTAGTAAACAAACAATATGCCTTTCAATAACTTCTTCATCATGTTCTATAGTTTAGTATGCATAATGAAATCATGTCATTAAGGTCAATAGATTACACTTCACAACATGCTTATAAGATAATTGACATCAACAATAACATTATACGGATTATCCCAAATTAATAAAATCAATACAGAATTTATCAGTTCTTAGGCTGCACAGCAGACCATGGTAGTGGTAGTATTAGTAATAGTAGCGACTATTAGTAAGCTACAGCTCATATTTTCCTCGTTGTGATTCTTCAGCCGAAAGACGAAGTACCGAGGCTATCCACATCTTTTTGTATCTACCAATAGGACTGCTTCCGAAGATCCAGTTACGGTAGTTTTTGCTCTAGCTACTTAAATTTTTCGTGCTTGGGAAAATTTGCCAGTGTGGTTAAATAAAGGTTTAGTAAAGATCATCATGAATTCGATATTGGATCGGCTGGTTCAAACAGACCATAAAACAAGAATTAAAGAATCTTTTACTGTTACTTCACCTATTTGAGAAGTTGTATTAGCACCAACGGACTGATTGGCGATGAAATCTCAGCAAGGATCCGAAAAGCTCGAGCTGCTTTCGCTGACTTACACCATCTCTGGCGTAGGCGTGACATCCGGCTATCAATCAAGGGACGTGTGTACTGCTCAACAGTTCGCTCCGTCCTTGTCTATGGCTCTGAAACATGGCCAATACGAGTTGAAGACATGAAAAGGTTGACTGCTTTCGATCATAGATGTCTGCGATCTATGTCTCACGTTAGGTGGTTTAATGAGGTAAGTAATGTTGACGTCAGGCGTAGAGTGTTGGGCGAAGAGGGAAAATCAATCGACGAGGCTATAAAGTTACATAGATTGAGATGGCTAGGTCCCGTGCTGCGCATGCTTAACCATCGCCTCCCCCGACGGGCATTACTAGCTGATATAGATGCAGGTTGGAAAAGGGTAAGTGGTGGCCAAACAAAAACATGGCCTCATCAACCCATGAAATCCTTGACAGTTAAACTGAGTCAGGTAGGGAGATGCAGACTCCCGGGTTGGGGCCCTCGGGACTCTAGGAATCAATGTCTGGAGACAATAGGTGACATGGCTCAAAATCGTTGTCAATGGCCAGCGCATATGTATTCAGTCTCTGTAATCTTTCATATTCCTTTCTACCATTACCCATTCTGTTTCGCTCTTATACTTGTCAAACTCTATTGATTCTCTTCACTCATCTTCTTGTCTACCTCTGTGTGCTATTTGGAAAGTGGCAACTGGAACTGGTGCACTTCGGTGCCAAGTTCTATGTCGCATCCAGACAGACTGTTACTTATCGGGTGTCAAATAAATTGTCATAAACCTCTAGATACCGAATACTCTGAACAGAATAAGGTATTATAAATCGCCTAAAACAACCGGAACTTTGACTACAAAAAAAAATCCAGTGACTATAGCTGTGGAATTTATATACCGAGAACCTTTGCATTATTTTTATTTATTTATCTGATATTCATTTTAGTGCTACATTTATGTCAGTTATCGTATACACATGTTTTGAAGCATATACTATTAATTTTAATAACTCATTGTTGTTTGAAACATTGTCATATTTCTATAGTTTGGTTTGTAAGGATTAGTTATGTTTTACGAGTTGATCACGGATTGATATCAGTTAGAGAACCATTGAAAACCAGCAGAGTACTGGACAGCTGCTGTTTTATCCTAGTTTTGGGAATCATCGGCAGTACGCACCCACTGGGAAGTTAGAATTCACGAGCCATCGAATCAGGTCCCAGTGGCTGAATGGTATACGAGCTTGCCTTGTAACCGGAAGGTCCTGGGTTCGAATCCCAGTGGATGCGTACTGCCGATGATTCCCAAAACTAGGATGAAACAGCAGCTGTCCAGTACTCCCTGGTTTTCAATGATTCGCTAACTGATATCAAACCGTGGTCAACTCGTAAAACATTGTCATATAGTTGGAAACAATTATTTTCAAGTATTGGTTCTGTAGGGATTTTGTTTGATTGGATGGAGGATTTCATCATGAGCTGACATCAGTTAGAGAACCACTGGGAAACCTGGGAGTACTGGACAGCTGTTTCGTCAGCCTAGTTTGGGACCCTTCAGCAGTACGCACCCACCTGGGTTTAAAACAGCTGTTTAGTACTCCTTGGAGGTTTTACAGTGGTTCTCTAACTGATGTCAGCTCATAATAAAATCCTCTATCCAATAAAACAATTATTCTTTAACTATTACGGATGTGAGAATGTAGAACCTCATCAAGAAGCTATTGAGGAGAATATGCTTTTTCCAGCAACCAGTCTGCTCAAAATTTATGATAAGGTGTATTTTATTTACATTTGATCTCATCCCAGATATCATATCCTTTAACTTCTAAGCATACGCCACCGATATAGCAATCTAACGCTTAGTCTAAGTCTAGGACTCTCTGACATTCCTCTACCATCAGTAGTTGTGTAAGGGACTGGTTGTGTTGTTGATACACTAAACCATGACAACCTTACTAAACACTATGTGCCCAATTAAGCACTTCATCAGTTACACCGTCTAACCTGCAAGTATTGATGAAAAGATACGAATCAATAATAATGAGTCATTTATAAATATGCTTTGACGAGAACTACATTTAAATAGAATAAAATGCTAAGATTGTTTGGAGAAAAGGATTTTACAGTTTATCTGGTTAGTATGGATAAACTAAAGACTTTGAGTATGTGCATGTTATTAGCACAAAGGATAAGAGAAAAAAGATGGCGTCTCATCCTGGTTGGATGTACATCACCTAAAACACCTAAAGTAGACGTAGGTGAGTCTAACGTTTATTAAATTGATTTAGTTTGATTTACTTTACTGTAAGCCTTGATTTGTGGAGTCTGGAGCAATATGATTGTACAACTTTTTTTGTTAGATGTTAAAAATGGAAACATTGTATACAGCTTTTGTTTAAAGCCATTCATTGTAAAATATGCCTAACTACGGAGTACAATCGAAAATACAGTGTGCTACTCAAAGCTTTGTTTTCCCACCGGTCTATACTATCTACTAGCTTCACTAATAATCGTGTTGTATCCTTCGGATTTTGAAGGAACTGCTCATTCTCATATGAAGACTATTCCACAACCGGTGCACAGCTTCTACTACTGGACACGACTCCATCAGTGAACGCTTCTGGGGATTATATTAATAATTTGTAACAGCAAACTTTAACTGTATCACCCAGTAACCATTAATTTCTACAACTTGTCATCTGTATTTTTATGACACACTGTTACAATACTCTTTCACTAACTTGGATTTTTATCCTGATATTTGTACCGTTACCGAGCTCTCTATTTAGTCCCCTACAGATTTATTTTGCTTCCATGGTACGTGCACAACAAATGGTTGCTGATTACTCACTCGTGTACACTTAGTAAAACTGATGACTGGCCACATTCTTCTGGATATCAATAGCGAGAATGTTTTCCAACGATAGATCATAAGAAAGACGTACACATAGTGTACTACAAATGCAATGAGTTAAGTTGTTTCTAGTCAATAAGATGAATATTAAAGTAGAAAGTTGGTTGAAGGTGAGTTTATTGGCAGAGTGGTTTATAATGGTGAGACAGTTGTCACTTTCAATGCAATATTTAAAGGTATTTCAGAAGTTTCTCAAGGAAAAACTAGCGCAAACTGCTACTTTATGAATTCACTACATATTTCCTCTAAGATTTTCAATTCATTATCTCTTTAGACAATGTTATTCTTTACTTCTTATTGATAGGTGTTCCGAAAATTATCAGTGGGGACTAATAATTCAGTATATGATGGTATCTTGCTAATAAAAGCCAACTAAAACCTACAGAATATACTGGTGTAACAACAGAAGACAAGGGCCAGGCAACAGATCGTTTTATTATGAAAATCAACACGTATTTATACATATTTCACATACATTATTATAGTTTATGCAAGTAGACAAGCGCAGTTATCTGATTGGTTGTTTATCAGAAGTTAGGCAGACAAACGCAGGCTTCTGATTGGTTGTTTCGGGATTCCTCGACAAATAGAGTTCTCTATCTGCGAATCATATTTTGCCAAGTTAACTTTGCTGTGATTGGTTGTTGAATCAGCCCTGCTCATATTCTCTCACGGCCTGCTCTCACCACACTGGGACTACTAAACTAATGTCGCTATTCATTGAGTGTGTATACAAGTAATAGCAAACACAAATATACCTCGTTTTCATTTCCACCTACTTGGATAGGTAGAATGGAGGTGGACAATTACGATTTGAATATTCTCCGGTAGTTGGTTTCATACGATTTCATATTATGTGTTAAGAGGAATGGTGTAACCGTATTAAATGTTACTTTTGGTGCTGTTTTATGGGAGTTTCAGCAAATTTTTTTTACACAGTTGGAATATCTGTCGTGATATTCCCTTTTAATATATGTTTAAAACTTGGACACTGTGGTAGGAAGTAATTCCATATTAGTTTATTTATTAGATGTATCACACAATGAAACAGTATTATTGACTGGATGAATTTTCGAACACAATTTATTGTTCATAATCATAATACTTATAACCACACAACTTCGAAACTTGAGTTTTATAGTTTTCTTTGTTCCCTCCTATTTGTCGTCGTTGTGGTAGTAGAATTTTCCAGATATCTGGGACAGGTGTTGAATTATTCCTTTTAAACGTATTTGCAGTTGATTCGATAAACAAAGCTTCCGTTATCAATCTCTCCCTCCACCCTGTATGGTTCTATGTAATTGCATGTAGTGCTACCTACGACTGAACTGTTCTCTAGATTTTTTAACTTATTCGGATCAACTAATCTAGATTTTGCTAGGTTTTTGTGCTCGGCTAATCTGACTGACCTTGTTCTACTAGTTTGATCTATGTATTTGACCTGACAATCATTCCAGTAGTGTGGGAGATAAACTAAATTGTTTTGTCTTATTGGTTCCACATGATCCTTTAGCCGACAAAGCTTGTTTCTAATTGAGTTTGTTGGTGGTTTGAATGCCAGCCACTTTTATTCCTGCCTTGTTAAAAATTCTGCGTAAGGTTTTCAAGGTCCCTTCTTTGCATGGAATTACTACTGGTGATTTAGATTCCTTATTGTTTGTGTCATCTTGCGCATGTTTGACATGCATGTCGTCGTGATATTCCCTGTTCTGGGAAACGTAAACATCCTATTTATTCTTTAAACACATAAAATAAAAAGTGACTTACAATAATTGATTTGACATCGTTTTCTTTGAAATCTAAATTTGTTTTGTCACTACTTTTAGCTCGATATAATTCCAGAAAATTCTGATAGAGTGATATTGCTTGTTTTGCAAGATCATTAGATTTACGTGCATAGTGATTGGCATTTTGATCATTTTTTTGTACAAGCTATCGGAGAGTAGACGAAATTATTTATATAATACTCAAAGGGCAAATTAGAGGTGAATAACTCGTAAAATGACCTTTCTCAAATTTAAAAAAACCCACTGTCTCTTGCAGTATAAAATACAGCTTCGGGTAAGATGTATGAACACACAGATTCAGCCCACTTACAATGTTTCAAGCAGACGAAAGAAACAAAACACAATAATGAAGTATCCCATAACCCTGGCAAACTAGACTATATTCAAGTATTGATGTGGTGAGAGCTGTCTGCAAGATTGTAAACAACAGTCTACGTCTATGTTTACGTCCCGAATCGAGGTCATGAGAAAACACAAGAACAAAGCTTAACCTTGAGGAACTTAGCAACCAATCACAGCAAACTTCACTTTTGCAAATACGATTCGCAGATATATAGATAACAATGTAAGCAACGGTCACAAACAGTAAAGAATAACCTTCAACAAGAAAAACCAATTAGAAGATGTTGCTTCTCCACTAAAATAACGAATAATAATGTACATAAAAATCTGTATTTCTTGGTTTTTTCAATAAACGATCTGTTGCCTGGCCCTTGTCTTATGTCGTTAAGTTGATTGCGATAAATATCAAATTGAAGACGTCTTATGTTGCCTGAAAGCAGATTGGTTTCCACTTCTAAAGATACTATAAAGCATGTGTGATATAATTCATTAAAAGGTGATTCTGAACCAACAGTTTTGTAATAAAAAGTTTTACAGACTGCCAATTACCACCAAACTAGGATAAAACAGCTCTCTAGGACTCCTAAGTCCTCAAAGATTCTCTAAATGATGTCATCTCGTGGTCTAACTTGAAATCACTCAGATCCATGGAGAATAATCCCTTTATAAAAACAAGTTTTCTCTGTCATTCTATATTTGAGTTATACGCAGTATCTTTACAACCGCTTTACAACTAACATGGTTAACAATGATAAAATAAAGTTCATGAAAATTACTCAGTTAAATAAAAACAAAAGTACATACTAATGACCAATCACAATTAAATAGGTCATGTAGTCCAGGGTAGGCAAAGATTGAAGTTTATTGATTTTTGTACACACAGTTTAGGCTGTATGTGATTAATCCAAAGGGCTTCCATCACCTTCAATAACCTTGAATTAGAGTTATGTGAAATAATCGTGAAACAGTCATTAATATTGATTTCGTTACCAGACATTAATAAGTGTTTTGCAATGGATGATGCTGGATTTCTATTAAGATTAATCGCGTTGGGATTTTCGATATGATTTACTAGCCATTTTGGAATATGTTCTTTTCGACGACATTGGAACATTCTGTTAGTTCTACCTATATACGTGTCACCGCAGCTGAGTAATTTTCATGAACTTTATTTTATCATTGTTAACCATGTTAGTTGTAAAGCGGTTGTAAAGAAACTACGAAATGATATCATCTCGCGAAATTTGTCTTCTCAATGCCCTGTTCAAATTTATCAAAGGGACTAATTGTTTTAATTATACGCAGTAGTTTATCATTCATCATCACGTAATCTACCCAAGCAGAATCTCAAGACAATTTTTATGATAATGAATTAAACAGCAGGACAGACTGATGAATTGTTGCTTTGGCGGACATGTTATTAGCTAGACAGACTCATATTATTATTATTATTTCCTTTAATTTCTAGAGAAACATAGGGCTTCAGCCACGCGTCTCCATTGCCTTTGGTTTTCTGCCAACGTTTTCACCCCGCTCCACATCTGCCCACACGCTTTCATCTCCTCTTCACATGACCTCCTCCAAGTCACCCCACCCTTGCACTGACGACTAACTCGCCGCTTCCCTTTCGGGTTCCACTGGAGCAATGGCTTGTCTAGTGATGTCACTTGATGGTTTCTTCAGTGTATGGCCAGCCAATCTATCTCCATTTCTTCCTGCCTATTTGTTTCACAGCCGGTTCCTGCTGTTGGTTCGCTCATTGCTAGAGATCCCTGTTGCTGATCTTTTCTGGCCGGCCATCTGATCTTGAGTATTGAGCGAAGACAGCTGTTAATGAGGGTCTGTAGTTTGTTTGAGATGCTCTTTATGACGCGCCAAGTCTCTGATCCGTGTAGTAGCACTGACTTCACATTGGAGTTGAAAATCCGGATTTTATTTTACGTGCTGAGTGCTGTTGACCTCCAAACAGACTTAAGAGTAATGAAAGCTTGTCTTGCTTTTCCGATTCTGGCTTTGGTATCCTCGTCAGTTCCGCTTGTAGTTGAAAAGATGCTTCCCAGGTGGGTGTAGGTGAAGGAGGTTGTTTCTTTCACGTTCCTCCCGTTTATGCTGGCTGATTGTTGTCTGTTGTTGTTGCTGCTGTTGGTGTTGGCCAGGAATCTTCATCACCTCTGTTTTATCTATGTTCACCTGAAGTCCTTCCTATCTTTGATGCTTCTTCTGCCAACTTGTTGCTTTTCACTTCCATATTCTCCAGTTTGTGAGAAATCAGACATATATCATCGGCGAAGTCCAGATCCTCCAAGTTTCTTGTGTGGGTCCATTTTATGCCTGTTTCCTCATCGCCCGCTGTCTGTCACATCATCCAATCTACTGCAATCAGGAAAATCATTGGCGATAGTAGGCAGCCTTGTCTTACTCCCATCTTACTTCGAAGGATTCCGTAAGTTTCCCGTTGTGGATTACTTGGCATGCAGCATTGTCATACAACTGTTGGATAAGATGTATAATTGTCCGCCGCAACCCGTAGTAGCAAAGTAGTTGCCAAATGAACTCTCGATCGATGCTGTCGAAGGCCTTTTCAAATTCGATGAAGTTGAGATAGGGAGGTGACTGCCATTCTAAGCTTTGATCAATGATGATCCGTACTGTGGTGATTTGATCAATACTGACTTGTTTCTCCTGAATCCAGCCTGTTTCGGTCGAAGTTTTCATCCTGGGCTTGTTTGATTCTTTCCAGGAGGCAGACTCATGTATTGTAAAGTAATATAATATAATATAACATAATATAACATAATATAATATTATATATATATATATATATATATATATATATATATATAATCTGCACAATGAACTGTGATCCAGACAGGGCTTATTATCCATAATCCAAATGGCGCTGACTCAAATTCCAGTGTATTCTAGGTTTTCTTCTGTTTGTTTTTAAAAACTAATTATAAATTTGCTTGAAAATACACATGAAGAGGAAGGCGCATTATGAAAACAACCCGGTTACTTTCATTGTTTACAAAATTATAGTATCTAAGTGTCGATAGCCATCGATCGATGAAAGAAATCTGAAGGAAGTTTTCTCTTACACTTATCTGACTTATGGAGCATTATTTGAACTACAAGCAGCACGGATGAGGATGTCGAACCTAGACAAGAACGGGAAACGATGAGAGGTATTCACGTCTCTGAAATCAGTGAGGCAAGCCATATAACTTAATCAGCATACGGCACAAGATCCAAATTTTCAACACATATGTCAATTCAGTCAGAGCTTCTATATGATTTAGGGAGTCAGTGTGTCATGAAAAAAATATTCCCAACCACATACTGCAACTTTTCATAAACAGACGCCTTTACTCGATACTGAAAATAAGTTGACCACCTGTAAAGGATAAGCAACAAGGAACTCTTGTAGCGAACAAATCAATAGCTTATTATCCGACGCATATATTTGCAATAGGAGACAGTGTTGGATTGAAGACACGCTTAGAATACCGTTAAGTGATGTCACACACCAGGCCTAAATCCAAATATGAAAGGACGAGTTAGGCGTGGCTATGAGGTTAACATGCAGGAGATCGTGTGTGTGTGCGTGGAGGAAACAGAAGTTTATGGGCACTCATGGAGCCAGCTACAAAAGATAGCACAGAACAGGCTGAAATGGAGATGTGCTGATAAAGCCCCATGTTCTCCTCAGAATCCGAAGGAATAATAACAATACAATGATTACTTTTCAAACTTGATTTACCCAGATAAAAATATGGAATTTGAACAATGAAAAAAGACGTTTAAACCTGACAAACAATTCATAAAGATTTTATTTAATAATAAAGTTACTTCCCCAAAACCAAAAAAAAAACACTATCAGTTTTACTGTTCTATTACTATAATAATAGGAAGAGGGTGTATTGATCATATCTTCACCCTCCGACAGATTCTAGAACATAGGCATTCCTACCGGCGTCCAACAGTCATTATATTTCTTGACCTAAAGGCAGCATTCGACTCTGTCGATCGGGAAGTTCTCTGGAAATGCTTGGCTGTAAAGGGAATTCCAAGGAAATATATTGCACTGATTAAGGAACTCTACTCGTACTCATACAGCCAGGTGAGGGCTTACGGCGAGCTGTCATCTGAACTGATGACGACCAGTGGTGTCCGTCAAGGATGCCCATTATCTCCTTTTCTATTCAACTTCATCATAGATGTGTTAATGGACTTAACCCTAGGTGACTTCAGCGATTCAGGGATTGACTTGCTACCTGGGAATAATCTCGTTGACTTGGAATATGCAGACGATATAGTCCTTCTAGGCGAAGACGCTGACAAAATGCAGAGTCTTCTAAACACCTTGAGCCGCAATCTACGAATGTTTGGCATGCGATTCGCTCCCGCCAAATGCAAGATGATGTTACAGGACTGGACTACATCGACGCCTAGTTTAAAAATAGGAAGTGAAGTGGTAGAGCACGTTGACCGCTTCACTTATTTGGGAAGTACCATCAGCCCCAACGGGCTGGTCTCTGACGAAATCTCAGCACGAATACAAGGGGCTCGTTTCGCATTTGTTAGTTTACGCCGACTCTGGCGTAGACGAGATGTTCGACTATCGACCAAAGGGCGGGTGTACTGCTCATCAGTCCGCTCCGTCCTCCTTTATGGTTGTGAGACTGGCCACTGAGAGTGGAAGACATGAAAAGATTAGCCGTCTTTGATCATAGGTGCCTGCGTTCTCTCTCCCGTGTGAAGTGGCATAATAAGGTGAGCAATACTGAGGTTAGGCGTCGAGTGCTAGGTAAAAGGGGAAATCAATCGACGAAGTCGTGAAGCTACATCGACTGAGATGGTTAGGACATGTGTTACGTATGCCAAGTCATCGCCTCCCTCGACGAGCTATGTTAGCGGATATAGGGTCAGGCTGGAAAAAAGCTAGCGGCGGTCAAACAAAAACTTGGCACCAGTCAATGAAATCCACAACAGTTGGTCTTAGCCACGTAGGAAGGTGTAGACTTCCAGGCTGGGGTCCTCGGGACGGTAAAAATCTATGGTTGGAAACAATTGGTGACATGGCTCAAAATCGTTCTCAGTGGCGCAGATGCATCCACTCCCTGTGACTTATGATATTCAATGAAACTGTTTTGTATTTCTTTATTACTCCTTTGTCTCACACCTCTGCTCACTATCTCTATTATGCTTTTCTTGTACTTTCTTCTCTTGCTTCGCGTGCTACACGGAGTGTGGCGACTTGAACTTCCGCACATTTGTGCAAAGTTCTATGTCGAAAACGGACATACAGACAGATAATAATAATTATTATTAATGTAATCATGATTACTGAGATTTTAAAAGTGCATTTCCATGGAAAAAAAACAAAATAGAACCAAGGTGTGCTAAATTTGACAGAATAACAACTAACCTCATCGAATATTTTCTTCTTTAAATCTCGTAGTGTACTCACCGCTCCAGCTAACTCAAATGTTAATTCTAAGCATATATTCAAATAATAATCTGGATTCAATTGTTTCAGTACATCACTTAGCATATCAATTCGTCTTTTATGCATACAACACTACATAACAGAAAATGAGGCAATTATTGAGGGTATGACAATACTTAATAATAATTAACAATGTACTAAAAAGTTTCATTAGTAAGATTCAGTTAGTTTTCATAAAAACAATAATTTTTAACTTACTGGATTCTATATTTCACCAGTATATGGTTAGAATTTAACTGGTGGATGGTGACTAGCAATGGAATCCAGGATAAAGCGCATTTCGTCCTATTTGGACTCGTCAGTTTAGGATGTACCTGCATTCTCAGTGAGTGATGATGTTCCCACCGAGGCTCGAACCCAGTGCCCATAGTTTCAAACGCCAAAAAAGTATATGGTTAGTTGATAAGCTTTCAGTCAACTGATGTGACGTGTGCTACTGACGAGAGCCTTTAAGTAGTATAATGTGTATGGTGTCTTCCGCGTGAAGAGTGAATGTTGGAGAGGTGGATTAAATGGCGAAATGAAGAAATGAAACACTCTCGTAAAACCAAATAAAAAGCATGAAGGAAAAACTGAAGAAACACTACTAAAAAGCATGTACAGATGGAGATTTCAAAGGAACTTTTTTTGTACTTTTCAATAACTGTACCCTAATTGAAGAAGTGAACAATTCTGCTCCTGAATACCTCTCTGTTCTACCTCTACATAAGGTCTGGGACGTTAATGTGAATACAATAGAAAAGATGCATTATATTAGTTCCTTACTATTAATACCACAATTCCATTAAACGTAAAATCGTATTTCAGTTATTGAAGTTGTATAAACCATATATACAAATAAAATAGTGAAAATTAAACACGGCTTTCACATGGCATATCACTGAATAAACATATTTTTTTCATTTTCCTGCACGTTCCCAGTGGGACATAGGGCTCCAAGCTTGATGCTTGAAATTTCTGTAGCAGTGGTGATTATTTTTACAGGATGGGGTTGCTAGCCTCATGCCAAACCTTTCCTCTTCACCAGTCTCACTACTGGCTTAGCGAGGTAAAGGAGTGCGCCGGGCGGGGATCGAACCCCGGACCATGTGCATGGTCGGCGAGCGTCCTAACCGCTATGCCACCGACGCACAAGCCTCGACCCCGACGGGACTCGAACCCGCAATCAGAAGATTGCGGGTTCTGAATACACACAAGAGTAGTAAAATGTCAGTCATGATAAGATTAACGAGCAAATAATTTATCAAAGTAAGGTAAAACAAGCAACATAAAATAATATCATATTATTTCACAGCCTTTTATCAACTTCAGAATACTGGAAATTACGACTAGAGAAGAATGAAAATAACAACTCAATGTTCGAATGTGCGTCGGTGGCACAGAGGTAGAGTGCTCGCCTACCACGCAAGTGGTCCAGAGTTCGATCCCCCGCCGACGCAACCCTTTACCTCGCTAAGCCAGTAATGACACTGATAAAAAGGGAACGTTGAATATGTGGCTAGCAACTCCATCCCGTAAAAATAAACACTCCTGCAACAGAAATTTCAAGCCTCTAGCTTGAATCCCTATGTTCCAATAGGGGCGTAAAAGGAATTCCTTAAAAAATGTTTGAATAATAACGATGAGTGTTACAGAATTAAGGCGCCTAAAACGTGAACACCAGAATTTCAAGCCATAAACAGTTTACATGCATTGCAAAGTAGAAAAATGTCAAAACTTGAAACAAACCAGCAAGAAATTATCCTCAAAAATCACATAAAGAATACATCCTGCCATGTATTTGGGAATGCCTCTGAAATAACAGCTGGATAATTAAAACCACTTGGAAAAGATATCGTACACAAACTAACACAATCACTGCATTGCATACTTTGCAGACCACAAGGCTAAACAGCAAAAGAAGACAAGATCAATATAATCTATGATATAAATTGGATCTATTATGTAAAAAATATAGGTCAAAGCGGACATTCCTTTCGACCCTGAGTCCAATAACATAGAAAGACCCAACCTGTATTCTGTTATATTAATGCATGTAGACAACTATGGATACATTTTGACTGGGGAGATGTAAAACCTTTAAACAGTGGAAACACGAAAAATACCAGGAAATTCCCAGAAGTATGGTGCTCAGACACATCAGCAGTCAGCAAACACACTATTATACATCAAATTTTTCAACTGTTAAAGGACAAATCACATGACACAGACGAGTCACATTTCAAGTCAACCGAGACGATCACTACTAATGTAGATTAACAATCATTCCTAAAATCTGAACCATTTATGGTAAGTTTTACGCTGAAGATAATGTCAAGAAAGATTATGAATGCTTCTCAATTAAACCACCGAACTTAGAGAATACAACCATATAAAAATCATCCATCCGAACTACAGATATTTCCTATAATTTCAAACTTAAACAACTATTCACCTAGACTAATTATAACATATCTTAGGATAAAACAACTCCCACACTATCAATATATTTCCACATTAGACAGCTTTACTTGACATAACATACAATGATGCAGTGTTTATTAAGCGGATGACGTTTCGAGCACAGATTATTGAGCGTATAAACGTTTTTTTAATATGCCCACGTGAAGATATTTAAGAATTATTCCATTTTGTAATCATCGAATACTAAAAATATGATGACTTCTAAATCTTACTTCTGTATGAGATAGGTTGTGTGACCTTATTGATCAGCCACCGGACAGGAAAACCATAATTATCATTAATGTATAAGTGTGACAATAGAAGACAAGGACCAGGCAACAGGTCGTCTAACTGGTGGATAGTGACTAGCAGTGGAATCCAGATTGTGCATTTCGTTCTATTTCGGTTCCACTGCTAGTCACCATCCACCAATTAAAACCTAATTACATGCTCAGACATCGTCAAAGCATCTTTATATTTTTTTTTTGATTTACAGCTTGATTCCACACTGTATTTTTGGTACAAGTATGGAATTTTCAGCATGGATATCGGTAGCCCAAATTTTGCAGGCCGACCATAGATATCAGGTGTGCGTCGGCGTGGCTCGAACCCCGGACCATGTGCGTGGTCGGCGAGAGTCCTAACCACTGTGCCACCGACGCACAAGAAACCGAAATGTCAATCTGATACCGAGCACTTCGGTGCAGTCAATCGACGGGAAAATCTAAAATTCAATCAAATAATTAGATCGTTTATGGAGAAAATCAACAGATATTTATAGATTTTGATGTATATTATCATTCGTTATTATTAGCAGAGAAGTAAAGTCTTCTGATTGGTTGTTTTTCCTGCTGAAGGTTATTCTGTCATCTATTTGCTGTGCGTTTCTTAGACAGCCCGTTGATATATCTGCTAATCGTATCCCCTCATACTAATTCTGCTGTTATTGATTATTGAGTTGGTCTTTGTTCTTGTTTTTTTCTCATGACCAAACTTTAGGACGTAAACATTGACGTAAATTGCTGTCTACCAATTTCGGCTAGCAGACAACTCTTACCACAAGAGTAGAATTTGGGCATTGTGGTAGGATGAAATTTCATGGTGGGTGATCTTATTTAATATAACACACAGTGGTTATAATATGATTATGATCAATAAATTGTGCTCGAAATACAATCCTTTAATTAATACTGTATCATCAAATTAACTAATCTAGTTTGGAATTATACTGTACTACAGAGCCCCAGTTCCACCCTCCCACCGAGTGACTGGTTTCAACGTAGAATTTTACACAGATGTGCAACAATTCGAGTTGACACTCCCCATGTACCACACAAAGCAAGAAAAGAGAGTACAGAGAGATTCAGAACAGAGATAATAAACAGAAATATGAGGCAAAACAATAGTAATATGGAAGAATAATATGGTTTTATTGAATGTTATAAGTCACAAGGAGTGGATGAATATGTTTCATTGAGAACGATTTTGAGCCATCAATTGTTTCCAGCCATTGGTTTTTACTGTCCCTAGGACCCCCAAACAGGAAGACAGTCTACACCTCCCTATGTGGCTGGCTTAAACTAACTGTTGTAGATTTCATTGACTGATGAAGCCATGTTTTGGTTTGACCAACACTATTTATTTTTTAACCTGATCCTATGTCAGTTAACATTGCCTGTCGAGGAAGGCGATTCCTAGGCATATAAAACACTCTCCAGTAAGCACCTTATTTCCTCGTTTTTATTTGTGACAGAGTTCCTCAAAAGTATCTGTTATGATTATCAAACCATTCGTGTTGCATCCACTCAGTTTAGCATAACACTTTACTTACTTAGGACATTCTACTACAAATAAAATTGAAACAATAAAGTGCTTTTGAATTACACATATGAATTAAGAAAGTCTTAAAATTGCTTCGACATAATTATGAACGGTTAAGTGTATTAAAAATATCCTTCACCAATAAATCCATTAACAATAAGAAAATGAAGTAAGCAAAATAACATGGACTTATACTCTGCCACAATGCCAAATATTTACGCATATATCAACTCTTACTACATTATATACATGAACTATCAAGAAAGTGCAATGCTTTAATTCAATACGATGTCTATGGAGCTAAGTATGTCTGTCATTCGATGCGGATTTTATTCAAATGGGTGCAATGAAACTACCCTGTGTGATTATGAAAAGATGAAAGTGGAACTATTAAAAGCACAATAACTGAAAATCTGGCCAATACTGGTCAGCTTTTCTTCACAACCTCTTCCTTTAAAACAATCAATAAGGCCAAAAATTACTCACCAAAACCATTACCTATCCGAGTGAAGGTTTAGTCATTGAAATAGAGAAACAAGAGCTCTACATACACAATGAGCTTACTTAAACACTCCTTTCAGTTATTTTAACCCGCTTATATTAAATTAGCGTAGTTACTATTTCTGTCTTGGCTCTATTTATTATTCCTCCTCTCTAAATGATCTGTATAAACAGCCCTTATTATTTCTATTATTATTTTTATCATCATCATCATTATTTGTAATTCGAACAGTTTCCTTATTATCTCAGTTGTTACCCTTTGTTAATTTAATTCAGTGTAGTTTTTTCCATATTCATCATATTTCTCTCCTTGTTACATGGTTTTTTTTTTATTTACCTGCTAATCTTTTAACGGCAGAAGACAAGAACCAGGCAACAGATAGTTTATTTATGAAATCAACAGATACTTATAGATTTTCATGTACATTATTATAGATTATTGTTAACAGACAGACATAGTCTTCTGATTGGTTGTTTCTCGCTGGACGTTAATCTTTCATCTGTTTGTGGCCATTTCTTGAAGTTTAGATTATCTACCTGCAAATTGTATCCACCTACGCAAAGTCTGCTGTGATTGGTTGTTGAGTCAGTCTTAGTTCTTATTTTTCTCATGACCAATATTGGGAACATAAACATTGACGTAAATTACTGTCTACCAATTTTGGCTAGTAGCCAGATCTCACCACAATCTTACTAATTCCATGCCTAAGGCATATGCATTCCTTTGGCTAATCTATATATTACATAATTCATCTTGCCTTAATAGAGTGTGTGTGTGTTCAATTTAATTTCATTCCCCTGAACTAATACTTCTTAACAGTCACTATGTCTTACACAGCAGCCTCAAAAAAAGGAATTGATCGAAGAAATATTTCCTTCTCAATGAGATCATCTTATATGGCTTCACTTTAATAACATATAGTTTTTCCGCCCCATATTGTATAAAACTCTACAAATAACTAATGTGTATGTGAGTTCAAAAAGTAATTTCACTGATTACCTGTCTATTAATGTTCTTTTCAAATGTAACCATTAAACGATAAGCTTTACTTCGATCTTGAATTAAAGCAACTGCATCAGAACAGTAATTCTGTAGAGAATAATAATCTTCTGCTTCCATTATACAATGTAATATCATACGAAATATTCCCAAGGCTGTCTTGTAATTTGTTGGCGGTGTAACTGTCTGATATATTAAATTGTCAATTTCTAAACTTTGATTAAACTCTACCTCCTTCGTTTTCATTTCGTGCTGATTAGTTTTTGTTCGCTGTAAATCTGCATTACAGTCCAATAATCGGGCAAATATTGGTTTCAATTCCAAATTGAACATAGATCCAAACTCACCAGCTATAAAAGGATAAATTTTTTAAAAATATTTAAGAATTAATGTTAGTCTTAGATTTCATATGGTTTTTACAATTAATCAGATACTTACCAGCCTGATGAAAGCGTGAGGCTAGCAACACACCCTATAAAGATAAAAATCACTGCCACGGAAGTGCCTAAACCCAAGCTTAAAGCCCTATATTCTGCTTGGAACGCAAGGGAACAAAATAAGTCGTAATAATGAAGGGATGCGTCGGTGGCACAGCGGCAGAGTACTTGCCTACCACGCAAGTGGTCCGGAGTTCGATCCCTCGCCGATGCAATCCTTCACCTATCTAAGCCACTCATGAGACTGGTAAAGAGGGAAGGTTGGGCATGAGGCTAGCAACCCCATCACGTAGAAATAACACCACTGCTACAGAAACTCCAACCCTCTAGCTTGAACCCCTATGTTCCACTGGGAACGCAAAGGAATTAAAAGAATAATAAGGGTATGAAAGTCTTACCAGGATCAAATGTAGCATGTTAAGAAGTCGTATCACCCAGCCGATAACATAGGCTGTTCGAGTTTTACAACTGTATAAAGCCAACATTGAATATAAAAGCTAAACCTCCTTCTATACATAATGTCATAATAGTAACACTAAGAGTGGATTTTAAACTGAACGAAATAATGAATATCAATCAAGCTATAAGAATACATACACGACATTGGAATTTTTCATTCAGTTAACCTTCCAAGTTATTCAGCCATAATCAACGGAAATAATCGATTTCCTTACAGTTGTTGATATATATATATAAATGGCCACTACGCCCTACAGTTCAGTCATAAGCCCTGCCGACGAGTGCCAGCAAACACGAAACCTAGGTCCAGGGCTCCCTGTTGTTTGCCTGCAACCACCTAAAATCATATATACGTGTAACTGTTTAAACTCGTGATTGTCTTAACATATAATTCATATCGTACAAAAGTATAAGTGATATTTTCTGCATAAATGTAGTTAAGTTGTAACAAGAGAAGACAAGTGCCAGACAACAGATCATTTATTAAGGAAATCAACACATATTTATAGATTTTCATGTACATTATTGTAGATTATTCTAGCGAAAAACACAGTCTTCTGATTGGTTGTTTCTCACAGAGAGTTAACTTTGCTTCTCTTAGTGGCTGTTTCTTGAATGTTAGATCATCTATATGTTAACTGTATCCGCCTACGCAAAGCCTTTGTTCTCATTTTTCTCACGACCAATATTGGGGACATAAACATTGATGTAAATTACTGTTCACCAATTTTGACTAACAGCCAGCTCTCACCACAAAGTCACCTACTTTACATCTTACAGTGTACACTCACTCTGATAATATAATCTGTTCAACTATTAAAGAGGTTAGAATGAATTTCGTCATAAGGTTTCTACTATCGATTAACGAAAACATCTTACTAAATAGTCAAATAACATAGCATATAAGTTGATTTAAAAATGTCATGTTTTGAGAATGATTTTAGTGTAAAGTAATACAAGCGCCTGTTTACAGAAACATTTAATTGGTTGGAGGATTTCATCATGAACTAACCATCAGTTGGAGAACCATTGGGAAACCAGCTAAGAGTACTGGAAAGCTGTTTCCTCCTAGTTCGGGACTCGCTATCAGTATGCACCGACCGAGGCTCGAACCTAAGACCTTCCGGTTACAAGAAGAGCTCGACCATTAGACCACTCGGACCCGACTCAATGGCCCATGAATACTAACTTGCGACAATTCACCAAATGTCAGCTCATGATGAAATCCTCCAACCTGCTAAACCAATACTTGAGAAACATTTGAACCATTCTTTATGGAATTCGTTCACACTGAATTAATCTAAAACGACACTCAGTTGTGGTATTTATCGTCAAAGTAGACTTTTTAACCCCATTTTCTAATGTTTCATATGTTTTTATTATGTTTGTTCGACTTGTTTCACACGATAAATTAGATAGTTTTGATAATTATACATGATATTATGCAGTGAAAAACGGTTCCTGAAGCTGATTTCATTTATGAAAGACGAAACTTTATTTAAAATCATAAGAAAATGAATATATATATATATATAGTTATAATGTTTACGTTAGATAAATTTATTTGATATAACATACATAGTGTTACATTATTAGTAATTGTACAGCTTTTCGGGCCTCATTTATTGCTCATAATCATATCAATGTGTTCACGCAACACAAATAACTTATTTTCAAGTACTGGTTTTTGTGGGATTCAATTTGATTGGTTGGAGGATTTCATCATGAGCTAACATCAGTTAGAGAGCCACTGGGAAGCCTGAGAGTAGTTAAAAGTTTTATCGTTAGTTTTGGACTCTCCAGCAGTACGCGTCTACCGTGGGTCGAACCCAGGACATTCTCGTCACAACGCGAGCTTACTTTATACAGCCTTGATCCTACTGTTTTTCATTATATAATTTTTTCATATGTCGGGGACGGGCGTTGAATCATTCTGATTTCACGTGTTCTGCGTCAAATCTGATGAATTCAGAGTCAGTGATTAACCTCTTTCTCCACCTAACTGTTATCGCTTTTTAATACTTTTACTCTTTTCTACACTATTGTGTGATTAAATACAAGCGAACTCATTGCCATGCTCCAGCTTTTTTCTAGATTATTTAACTTGGCATGGTCAATCATTCTAGCTTTAGGTAAGTTTCTCTGCTTCGATAATCTAATTGACCACTATCTACTAGTTTGACTTATGTAACTGAACTCACAGTCATTCCATGGCATCTGGTAAATTATATGGCTTTTCTTCATTGGATCTATTGGGTCATTACGGTAACAAAATTTATCTTTGAGAAAGTTGGTTTGTTTAAATACCATCTGCAGTCTAGAAATATTTGGTGTTTTCCATGTTCCCTCCTTATATGGTAGTACCATCAAGGTTTTGTATTCCTTTTCATTTATACTGTTTTCATTGCTAGTAGTACTAACGTTAACTTCTGTCAATTCATGATATAGCGCGACCACTTCGCAATGTCTTCTTCGATGGATTACTGCCTCACCTTCAATCTGTTGTACCCTAATGGTTATGGCTTCCTACTAGAATCCCGGTTAACTGCCTGAATAGGGCTAGTCGCTAGTGAATATCAGATTCATTTTGTTCTTATTACTAGTCTTAATGAATCTTTGGGTGAAGTCAAAAGAGTAGTTATTCACTGACATTCTTTTCAATCATCTGACTTACTTGTTAGCTCCTAGCTCGATCATATAAACTTTTAACTAGGCCTAACTTTACCAGTTTTGGGTAAGATGATTCCTAGTCTAAATATCTATTAGCATGTGACAGATTCTTATAAATGCTAATTTCCGCTTAATTTTACAAACTGGTATAGCTAATTCACCTTGCTCATTCTCTAATTCTAAGGTGAGCTGGATTCAGTCTACTGGTGGGTTTATGGACAGAGAAATCAAAGATGTGTTTGGACCTTGAAACTTTAATTTTGTCATAAACATGTCTCCACCATACTTTAGGAGTGGGATTATACATCGTAAGATCTTTACATCCCCAACTATCTAAAAATATATCTGCTACTACTGAGGATATTAGTGATACCATTAAAATCACATTTGTCTATTTGTCTATTTTATTTGAAATATATAGACTTTAAAAGTTACAAAACTGAATACCCAACATTAACTCACCAACTGATAAGTTATTTCTTTCTTTGAGTACAGGATCGATGTTTAGTTGGTTTCTGACCGCTATTATTTAACTTATCTATATACTACTGATTGGCTGATATGAGTAGTTTGATACTACTCCCACCAACTAGTAGTACTTGTTAGGCAGGTGACCATGACCTGAACACTGAACAACCTTTTCGCTCACTCTGGGCAGTGATGCTCAGAATTGCACGCGATATGACCCAGCTTAAAGCATCAAGTCAGTTCAAGCCACTGGAGTTCTGACTACCCACTCGAGAGAGCTGATAGTGCCTTCAATCAGATTCACAAGGTCCAAATTAATCTGCCATTTGGATTATGAGCGGAGAGTTGTGAAGTGTTTAAAATGAGTATACATATGTTAGCTGAAGAAATCTACATTACATCAAACCAATGTAGGCATATTGTTGCTGTTATTCCACTACCTGTGAAACAGTTAACTTATTCAGCCCGTCAAAATAAAAAAACCGTAAGTAAATTAAGAAGAGTTTCTTAAATTCTTGATTATTTCAAGCAGTCGTTTACTTTAGCTTAACCATCACTTGAATTTTCATGCATTTGGTAATGAGCCACACCTGTTATCTGAGGTCCAACGACACTACCCGACTGGAGTATGCTTTAAACCGCCAACTCACTGAATCCAAGCCGCACGCTTAGACCACTGAATCATAGCCCCACTCAAAGGCTTGTGAATAATCCACACTCTTATACTCTATAATCATTCACTTTGAATAATGTGCACATTAAATGTCGCTTAAAGTTTAACGACAAACACTCTTAAGTCATTGTAAGTGGGATCATGCACAAAGAATATATGTACAGCACATTTTGTCAGTAATTAACTTACCAGTTTTTCTTTTCTTAGAATGATCTTTGTCAACTTTGATACTAGTTATTTGTTTACCAGTTGACTTCTCATATGAATTTGCGCCTACTTCCAATAGATCAAGACTGATTCGTACTATATCACGATAGATATTCGCTAGAGTATTATTCATTTGATTCAGTGTATAATCATCTTTCTTCTTAACACATGTATTCTTCGCTTCTTCAATAATACTAAAATAAATGCAAAAATGCACATTCTCTGTAATAAACAAATGAATTATTGTAATCAGCAATAGTCAGTTTTACAAATTAATGTATTAAAAAAATCTGAGGTTTCTATAGTGTAGTCGTCCTTACGTTTGTTCAAAGTGCAGAAAGTTCTCACTTCATGCCTTGGTGGAGAAATATTCTTGTTTGAAAGTGGCTGAGTGATCATAGGATTCATTTAGTACACAAAAGGACTCAGGCTGCATATCCGTTGGGGTTATCGGTGCGTACTACTAAAGAGTGCATAACTAGGACGAAATATCTGTCCAGTGCTTCGTTGTTTGTATCGGTGGGTTATTGTTGGAATACTTTCTGGCGACGCAGGATGTCTAGGACTAATTTCCAGCCGATGCACCCCTAAACTTCACCTGGTTTAATAGCCAGTAGTAGACCTGGAAAAGATATAAGGTTGATCTTGGGGTTAGAGACTTCACCCTGCAAAGAAAACATCATCTACACTGAAACTTTAAGACTTGTATTCCACTCGGAAAGCACTGAATGAAAGCTGAGTGGCATAAATAGTAAAAGACAGCCGTTTTATACTTTCATCAGTTAACTGTCATATCTGCTACTTTCATTTCTTTTCTTAATAAATAGAACCATATGACTGACTGACGGAATTATTTTCAATATAGAAATTAGTACATACATAAGCCAGTTCAGTTTACCAGATACCATATATCACACAAAAGCGGAGAAAAAAGAAAAAATCAAAAGAATTATAGTGAGCAGGAATGCACTGAACAAAGAACAATTACAAGGCGAAACATGAGGGCTTGATGGCGTAAATGTTTTTGAGATGCTGAGAACGATTTCCAGACACCCCCACCGACAGTCTCAAGCCTCCTTATGCGAATCGAAACAAATGTCAAAACCATCATCAAGTGATGTCGTCTTTTGATTTGACCTATCCCAATTCTTTTTAAAACTAATTTTATATCACTTCGATGAAGCAAGGCGATGGTCCAACATAAGTGACATGTGTTTTGCCCATTCCAATCGATGTCTTTTCATAACCCCCTCTACTAACTCTTTACATAACACTCTGAGCTTAACCATGATATTACTCATCATTTTACACCATTCAACACTGGGGTTAGTACGCAAACGCCCATTTTAAGCAACAGCTAGCCTCTTCAGGTATTCTGCTTTAATGGCCATGTCTTACGGTCATAAATAAGTACAGAGCGGATCTGTGTGCAATACACACATCATTTATTCAATGGCCAGACATCACATTCACATCAGAGGTGACGTAAGTTGGCAAATGCCATATGAGCCTTTTGCATCCGTACTGAGATTTAGTCATCAATCAGCCTATTAGGTCTGATCCAACTCTCCAACATAATCAACCGCTTGAGTCCCTGTCTATAAACTGGGAGTCAGTGCAGACTAATCTTTCAGCGTTATCTCACACTTGACACAGGTGAATCGTAAGCCAGACAGCTGAAGACTCCGTTCCAAGGTATTCAAAAGACTCTGCATTTTATTAGTCTTCACCTAGAATGACAACGCAGTTTACATACTCTGAGTCAACGGGACTGTTTCTTGGCAAAAAGTCAATTCCTAAGTCGTTAAAGTCGATTAGAATCACATCGATTGGGAAAAATATTTTCTAAGCGTTATGATCACATGCATTTCAATGTTAATATGATATTGCTTAGTCTACTTTTATTATGAGTAGTGGTTTTTATTTCAGAAGGCTTCTGTGAATAGTGACATAAAGGTTTGCGATAAAAGTTGGAAGATATAAAGATAATACCGTATGTTCACTACTCTTTCGAGCTGCAATTTTTAGAAATAGGTCTCTCAACCTATCAACTTCAGTTTCATCCATACACAAGTAGAAGAGTATAACTCAAATAGCCTAGTTCACGCAGAAAAATGCCACCAAAACAAACCCCAATAGAAAGCCTTTTGTTTTCTTACTGTATTGCAGATAACAAACATTCAAATGTTTTATGATAGTATTTATTGGGTCCTTCAATTGAAGAAAAATAATCACTCAGGCTGACAGCATTTGTGGCCCATTCAACAGGATCGAATGCGCGAATAGAAAGAAATGAATGCGTTATTGTTTCTCCAGTTTGTTTAGTAAATTTGTCTTGTTCTAAATCTCGAAACAGATGAGCTGATTTAGCACGAAGCTTTTTGCTCATTCGAATGCTTGACACACTGTTCACAGCTTTCATAAGAGGCTTGGCAAAAGTTAGTTGACGTAATAAGGTAAGCTGACAATGATCAGCTGATAAACTTCGTTCTCCAGCTAACTGATGTACCTACAGAGTAGAACATTTTATGGATTGTAACAGCATTAGTGGTTCGTTTTATATATATATATATATATATATATATATATATATATATATATATATATATATGCATAAGAAAGTAATAAGCTCCTTCTGTACATCAGAAGACTTAAAAAGCTCTATAAATTAGAAGTACACTTATAACAAACTAGCATATTTTTCCCATACAGACATATTTCACCACCAATTTTTTGTATGTATAGTAAAAAGTAAGACAATTAAACAACAGAATTTCCATAGCTACCAAAATATACAAGCAGTATACAACTTGCCTTTTGTTATATTCTCACAAAAACGTATTAGAGAATGATAAGCAGTACCTGATTATCAGCTATTCTAAGGCCTTTCTGGATAGTGTTAAGGTATTGTGAGTCAATGTGATCCTAATTCAGGAGGATAATAGAGATTCAATGTCAACCAGACCATCATTTTCAATATTTGAAAAATCTTAAATTATTATAAAATATTTAAATTTTCTGCAACATTTACTTCTACTTTACCTTGCCTAGGAATAAAGAGCGCATCGATGGCTCATTGGAAGAATGCTTACCAGTCACGCGAAGGATATGGGTTTGGTCCTCTGCCGTCACACTCCTAAACTCCCCCAAAAAGGATGGAAAATAAACGACAAACTTGGCTCATGTGTTTGCTTAGATGAAGTGCGGAAATCACACTATTCCATGATATTGTTCAACTAGAAAAATGTCCAGATCACTAATCAGACTGATTATAGATTATTAGAGCATGTAAAGTGGGAGGGAACACAAAATTTGAAATGATTATTCTACCGATTGTATTGTGAGAGAAAAACCACCGCTACATGTTTTAGATGTTTTAGAGAAGTTGTAGATAATATGAGAAACGCATTTTAGCAGTATAAAGATGAATTAAGGACCAATAAATTTTAAATTGGATATTTACATTTGTATCGAACTCCTGGAATCCATGCAACTTCACATTTAAATGAGACAAAAATGAACACTGCACTAAGCAAATCACTTTGCTGTTAAAGTTTGAACCATAACAGCAATCAGTCATCCTTTCAAAGAAAACATTCTGCTCTGTAAGAAAGATTTGGTAAAAACGATGAATAAAGGAAATTCCCTTTTTCTCGGCACAGTATCTGTTCAACTACCCCATAGATCAAAATGTAAGATTTAGCTTTAAGTCAAATGATCTGTCAAGTTAGAAATAAGCAGTTATAAGGAAACGCAGTTGGTTTCATCACGCTATGGTCATCACAAATAAGTCGGCTAATACACTGCTAGACTTTTAAAGATGTTCTGCTCTATTTTACCACGTGTTTTGGCGGTTACAGGAATTTAAACACAAAGAACCCATGGTGTTATTTTACAACCCTACTCCCAAAAAATACTACCATGATTTATTCTGAACTACTATCATTTATTTTTCGTTTCCAATATACAGAGGGGTACATTATGCAATGCAGTGGTAGAAGTTAGTATTCATGGGCCTTGAATCAACTCCCAGTGTCTGAATGGTATACAAGCTTGACTTGTAACCGGAAGGTCCTGGGTTCGAACCCTGACAGTGGGTGTGTACCGCCAATAAGTCCCAAGCCAGGACGAAACAGCCCTTCAGTACTCCCTGTTTTTCATCTGTGCCCTAACTGATATCAATCCATGGTCTAAACTGATACTACTAATTTTGTTTCGTTTCTAATATACAGTCGGGTATATTATGCACTGCACCTCTATGCCAAGCAGGTCATACTCACTCTTTTTTTATAAAATGGTAAACTGTCTCTAGCTTAAGGCCTAACGATTCCGAGTGTCTGAGTATGAATGCATTACATTTGGAAGAAAGGTCATTGCAAGAAATAATCAACACATTTAGTTAATTCCTTAAAACATGATTATATGGGGTCTGAAAATGTCATATCGTTGACTTCACCTAGTAAATACAACTTAAAACAAGTTATTTTCCTAAAATATTATTCAACGCTTAGGAATTTTTCACATAGGTTGACTGACGCACTAAAAACACAGTGGAAGTACTTTAGTACCGATTTGTTGTTGAAAGCATGTCCTTCTTCCTTCATATGATATGGAATTAAATTCTAAGATAGTGCACAAATTTCAGTCTCATATTAAATGGAGCAGGCTCAAGACATGAGACCCATTGAGTGTAAGTGGAGTATTCTCACCAACTGACACCACCACCTACAAATGGGAAGTATTTTTTGCTTATAATTATGACCCATTAATAGTTTTTAAATGCCTAACACTTAAAGGAAAAAAGTCAACTATCTTGCACCCATTTGTGATAGACTATTAGAAGCTAGAATGTAAACTTGAAGGAGAATACTTATCTATGCACAATATTAACACGAAATCTGAAGTAAACCACTGGTTTCAGAAGAAAGTCATTTGACTTATATCACAACACTGATAAAATTATTTGAGGTGAGGCAACTTTATGTAAGAGCCTAAGTGGCAAATAATGCCTAAACAACTGCAACACAACTAGTATTATGGTAGATGAAAGTTCAGTCTGTTGAGTACGTAACAATGTGATTGTACACTTTTTAGGTACTTGTATAAATTCGAGATATTGTACATAATTTTTGTTTAAATCGCTTCTTGTTGAAATATACATAATTTCCGTGTACGATTGAAAAATACACTCTGCTGTTGGAGACTTCGTCTTCTCCCTGGTCACCTCTACTTACTTGCTCCACTCACACCGTGTTGTAACTTTGGATTTATTGTAGGAGCCTACTACTTTCATCCGAAGACATTTCTACAACCGGAACACAGCAGCTACAGCAGACGCAGTCCAAACAGTTAACGTGCCTGTGGATTATATAATTAATTTGTAGCCGAGGACTTACACTTTATAACCAAGTAATCCTTTTTGTTGCTATAACTCGTCACTGTATTTTTGGTAATATATTGTGATTTAACACTCCACTGACTTGGATTATTACTTTTATACTTGGAATGTTAGTGAACTCTAATATTAGTCCCCTACAAATTAATTGGTGAGCCCGATAAGAACACGGATTATTTTGGCATATTTATATTCTTATTTTTGCTATTTTTATATTCATTGTGATTTTGTGTGTGGTTTATATTTGTATCCTAATTTGCACCAATACCTCATATTTATAATGTCATCACCTCAGTCCGGTACATCAAACGAGCAGACAACTAATAGCGAGACAAATGCCACAATAAATGCCATCACTGATTTTCGTTTACCCCAATACGGTTTCGCAGAACCAAGGATTTGGTTTGCGGTAATTGAACCGTTGCTAGAAGCACGGGGCATTAAGTCCCAAATAGCCAAATATGGTATGGTGCTGGCAGAACTCCCTCCGTCAGTATTGACAGAAATCAGCGATTTCATCGAAGATCCTCCGACGGAACATCAATTTGATAAACTTAAAGCCCTCCTCATACAACGTACCAGTTTGTCGGATGAGAAAAGAATCCAACAATTGCTCACAGGCTGTGAACTAGGCCCACGTAAACCATCCCAGCTGCTCAGGCACATGCGCCAGTTAATCGGACACCATAAAGTAGACGAGGTAGTGCTGAAACAGATGTGGTTGCAACGTTTACCTAGAAATGTCCAGCAAATTTTAATCATCTCAGGAAAGTCGTATGACTTAGACCAACTAAGTGACATGGCAGATAGTATTTTGGATGTTTTATCCGATAACACCATAAGTCACGTAGCATCTGATAGTGCCACACCGTGTCATTCCACACCCACGGCAGACACACCGATACTCGCCGCCATTGCAGACTTAGCGGCAAGGATTGACAATTTGGAAACTAATAAGTCTGATCGACAAGTCCGGAGACGGACTTCACAAAGAAGGTCACCATCACGACGACGATCCTTCTCACGACAGCGTTCTTACACGTCTTCTCGGGATAGCAATATATGCTGGTATCACTGGAAGTTTGGACGTCATGCCCTGAAATGTGTAAAACCGTGCAGCTTTAGCGAAGCCAACCAGGCTCAGGGAAACGCCTCAGCCAGACAGTGATGGCGACAGCTGTTACTGGCAAGCAAACAAGTCGCCTCTTCTATGTGAAGGATAAAACTTCAGACACTTTATTCCTGGTAGACACGGGAGCAGAAGTTAGCGTAATCCCTCCTTCACTATCCAGGCGATCTACACGGACACCCGGAAAACTGTCTCTCCGGGCAGCTAACCACACAAGCATACAGACGTATGGAGAGCAATCCCTCATACTGGATCTAGGTTTACGTCGGCGTTTCACATGGATTTTCATAGTAGCCGACGTCAGTCACGCCATCCTCGGAGCAGATTTCTTGAGTAATTTCAACCTGTTAGTTGACGTCAACAATAAAAAACTGATTGATAACAACACCCATCTAAAGATCCATGGAATTATCTCCAGCTATTCTGTCTATAATATCAGTATTGAAAGACCAGCAGATTGCCCTTTTTCCTCCCTACTTCACCGTTTCCCTAAAATTCTTAAGCCGTCGTACAACATCGAGGACGTCCCTCACACAGTTACTCACAAGATAGTTACTACGGGTCAACCAGTTCGTGCTCGTCCCCGTAGATTACCCCCGGACAAATTGGCAGCAGCCAAGGCAGAATTTGAACACATGATGCAGCTCGGCATCATCAGACCCTCCAATAGTCCTTGGTCTTCGCCCTTACACATGGTGCCTAAAGCTGATCATGATTGGAGGCCATGTGGGGATTACCGACATTTAAACAATGCCACAGTTCCCGACCGTTATCCTATTCCTCATCTTCATGATTTCTCCCTGACATTACACGGAAAAACCATTTTTTCTAAAGTAGACTTGGTCAGGGCCTATCACCAAATACCAGTTGCCCAAGAGGATATCGAAAAAACGGCCATCATCACACCTTTCGGTTTGTTTGAATTTCTCCGCATGCCATTTGGCCTAAAGAACGCAGCACAATCCTTCCAACGTTTCATGGATCAGGTCACACAAGGTTTGGACTTTGTATTTGTATATATCGATGACGTTTTAATTGCTAGCTCGTCGCCCGAAGAACATACTGATCACCTCACCATCTTATTTCAACGATTTGAGCAATATGGAGTCGTCATTAACCCCAAAAAGTGCATATTCGGTGTCTCCTCTATACAGTTTCTGGGACACCACATAACCACGAATGGTATTACGCCTACGGAGGAAAAGATAGAGTCCATCAAAAACTTCCCCGAACCAGATTCACTCAAGAAGGTCAGACGTTTTTTGGGGATGTTTAATTTCTATCGGCGTTTCATTCCTTCGTGTGCCTCCATCGTCCAGCCGTTAACCGACCTCCTTAAAAATGATCCTAAAAAGTTTCAGTGGTCAGCTGAAGCACGCGAATCATTTTGCAACGCAAAAGATGCCTTATCCAGAGTTACTATGCTATCCCATATCAACCCCGAAGCGTCGCTTATTTTGTGCACAGATGCCTCCCAAGTAGCTGTAGGGGCAGTATTACAACAAAAGATGAAGGGCGAAGTCACCCCACTCGCATTCTTTTCTAAGAAGTTGGAACCGGCTCAGACACGATACAGCACTTTTGGGAGAGAATTGCTGGCCATATATCTTGCAGTGAAGCATTTCAGTTACTTACTACAGGGCCGGCATTTCACTATTTTTACTGACCACAAGCCCCTGTGTCATGCTTTCACTACTTCACTTGATAAACACTCCCCTAGAGAAGCCAGACAGTTGGATTATATCTCCCAATTTTCAACCGACATTCAGTACATCAAAGGGGATGCGAACGTGGTAGCCGATTCTCTTTCAAGAAGTGACATTAACCAGCTCCAAACGTCGGTAGACATCAGTCTTGATCGTATGGCTCAATTACAACGAGATGACGTTGAACTCCAAACCTGCCGCAGAAACTCTTCCTTACAACTCAAAGATGTGCCTATCCCCTTATCAGATGCAACCATAGTCTGCGATGTATCTACCGGCACTAATCGTCCATTTGTCCCTCTCAGTTGCCGAAAAGCATTGTTCGAACATTTACATTCGCTTTCCCACCCTGGAGTACGCGCCACGGTCAGGCTGATCAGCGAACGCTTCGTGTGGCCTAAAATGAACTCTGACATTCGGAGATGGGCACGAGAATGTATCCAATGCCAATGCTCCAAAGTACACCGCCACACTATTACAACCCCGAAGACGTTTAAATTACCCGAAAGGAGATTTCAGCATATCCATATAGATATCGTGGGACCATTGCCAACATCAAGGGGATATACACATATCCTGACAGCGATTGATAGATTTACTCGTTGGGCTATTGCATGCCCCTTAAACGACATATCTGCTGAAAACGTTGCTTTAGTTTTTCTCGACCGTTGGGTGTCAAACTACGGTGTACCAACTACTATTACATCCGACCGCGGTCCTCAATTCCAATCGACACTCTTTCGCGAACTGACGAGACTTCTGGGAGTGAAACATATCTCCACAACAGCCTATCATCCGGCAGCGAATGGTCTAGTGGAAAGATTCCACAGACAACTGAAAAGCTCCCTGATGGCGCAGAATGATACATCTAAGTGGAGTGAATACTTACCTTTGATTTTACTTGGTATCCGATCTACTATCAAAGAAGATTTAGGATGTACACCGGCTCAACTTGTCTATGGCACCAACCTAACCTTGCCTGGACAGCTAGTCCCCTCAGCCGATTCCACAGACGTGAACATTGCCGACTTCACTAACCGATTAACTAGACAAATGCTTCAACTTCAACCAACAGCACCTCGACAATCTCCCCGACGAGATCAGATCAACAAACATCTACAAACTTGCAAATTCGTCTTCATTCGAGTCGACGCCATCAGAAAAGGATTGCAACCTCCATACGAAGGACCCTTTCAAGTTATTAAACGTTCAGACAAACACTTTACCGTGAACAAGAATGGAAAACGAGAGACTATTTCCATTGATCGAATCAAACCCGCATACACCGACAACGACTTCGAATCTACATCGGCAACTGCGCAATCAAATAATCAAACATCCGATTCCACTCCACCGGCACCAAGTCTTATCCTCCCTCCATATCAAACACGTAGTGGTCGGCAAATCAGTAAACCGGCTCGCTACGTTCATTTTGAGGACTAACAAAAGAAAAATAATTAAAAATTATTATTATCTTTTTCGTTTAGACATTATCATCATGACCGTTAGTATTTCGTCGTAAACTTTGATGTTACTATCACTATTATTTATTTATATGTACCTCACCAAAAAACAGGTAGTGTCCTTTCCAAAAACTACTGATCTTTAATCCATATTTTTTTTAATGTTTCTTTCCCCTCCTTAATTACTGTGTATTTACATATTTTTCTTTATACATTAAAAATCTATGTTCATGGTTAGTGCAAATTTAAGTGACATGACTTTCTATTTCAATTTTTATTGCTGAACTTATTGTATATGCTTTCAGACTTTACATGATTCACATACCTTCTCGCGTTTATGCATGTTGTAATATATCCCTATTTTTATCCAAAAGTTGCTATTACTATTATTACTTACTTCATAGTTTTACGTATCATTTTCCGGTTGTCTCTCCGGACCTCTAGGGGGGAGCCGTGTTGAGTACGTAACAATGTGATTGTACACTTTTTAGGTACTTGTATAAATTCGAGATATTGTACATAATTTTTGTTTAAATCGCTTCTTGTTGAAATATACATAATTTCCGTGTACGATTGAAAAATACACTCTGCTGTTGGAGACTTCGTCTTCTCCCTGGTCACCTCTACTTACTTGCTCCACTCACACCGTGTTGTAACTTTGGATTTATTGTAGGAGCCTACTACTTTCATCCGAAGACATTTCTACAACCGGAACACGGCAGCTACAGCAGACGCAGTCCAAACAGTTAACGTGCCTGTGGATTATATAATTAATTTGTAGCCGAGGACTTACACTTTATAACCAAGTAATCCTTTTTGTTGCTATAACTCGTCACTGTATTTTTGGTAATATATTGTGATTTAACACTCCACTGACTTGGATTATTACTTTTATACTTGGAATGTTAGTGAACTCTAATATTAGTCCCCTACAAGTCTACTACACATATACATATTTATAAATTATGAACCTGATGAATATATGATTAACAGAAACAAAATGAATGCAACCTGTGCCATTAAAAATAACGTTGTTGTGTATCCATTTTCAAACATCACGCGGCTTATAGATAGATCCGATCCATTATAGCCACCACTGGGTTCTTGTCCCCTATTCCACTCTTGGAACACCAGTGTGTCCCAGAATTCTGGTCCTGTATTCGGCGGATTTTGTCTTACATATATTTTGTAGACCCTCTGAGCACAACGAAGCCAGTGCATAGGTTTACTATCTGACGTGGAAAGCTGTTTGTTCTGCATATTTATAACTTGAATAGCAGCAAGTACGTTGAACAGTGTTTGTAATACACCAGCTATGCTGTTGAAGAGGACCAGCTCCTTAGCTGACAGGCAATTTTTCTCCTGGAATTCTATAAATAAATTCAAAATGATAAGACTGGTTACCGTTCTCAGTGATTTTGGAAATAAGAGAACTAATAGATCGGAATCGATCATTATTATTAACACATGGAGACAAAATTTCCTGAGCTAAATACTAAGAAATGGAAAATGAAGTTATACCTTTAGATGCATCCCCCAAATCAAGGTAATTGATGGCAAGTTTTATTCTTAGGAATCCCCAATACAAAAAGTGTGTAGATGTATTAATCTTCGGAAAATATCCCTCGAACTTTTGTAGCAACTCGCGGTATTTTTTACGAGCAGCATTACGGAATTTGAAATGGGAATCTCCAAACTGTTTTTCCAAAGTAATTGATTCCAGAGAATGTACTTCATGAAGGGTACTTTTATTTTCCCGCAGAAAATGCTCTACTCGAATCATGACAAGTTTGTTACAAACATAGAAACTACTACATCAAGGAATTAAAACAATTTTCAAGTGTTAATAATATATGTTTAAATTGCCATTAACAGCATGAAATGATGATATAGGTTTACCCACGATCAAACAATTAAGATAACCACACGAGAAAGTTCACTTAACGCCCTGCCAGTAATCAAATTTCTTCAAACGTGATGCTGACCGTCACTGTTTAAGTCGACTCGTTTAGCTGAAGGCTTCCGGTCAAGTATCCATGCCATTTGATACTCCATCACGTCACATTCGTGCACGATCACTAGTCAGTTAAGCAGTCAGCACGCAATCCGTCTTGGTCCCGAAATATATACCGTCATTTGGACAACCAATTCAGTTGTTTCGCTTTGCCTTTGGTTCACGAGAAACGAATACTATAGAGGTTTTTGGTATAAGATCTTGCGTTAGTATACTCCGTACAATTCGCGAACGTCGATACCGTCAGACTCTAAACTGTGCTGCACGTCATTTTCGACATTCAGTGGAGGGTCGTGAATTTATGATTTTAACTTACCACAACTCTGACGTACTTTCTGAACTTTACCTCATATAAGTATTCACCTAGAAAATCGGGACAGCTAGACTACGCTTCACAGTTTACAGCGGATATTCCCCACATATCCGGAGGGAACAACAGTGTGGTAGATGCCTTGTCGCGCATTTGTTTCGTCACCCAAATAAGTGGCATATACCTTGTGAAATCGGTTCGTCTTCAAAAAGAAAACACCAAGCTTCAATATGAGTTGTCAAAAACAACACTGCAATTAGCCGAGAAACCCTTAGGTATGGGAAGAGTTACTATCCTATGTGACATTTCTACGAGTACTCCCCACCCCCATCGTGCCTAAAAGTTATCTCCACAACGTCTTTAGTACGTTGCATGATTTATCCCACCCAGGTATTCTAACTACCGCCAAGCTCATAAATGGTCGGTTTTGTTGGCCCGGTAATAATAAAGAAGCAAGGGAATGGACACACGTGCTTAGCCTGCCAAAGGTGCAAGGTAGTAAGACACACCAAAAGCGTTTAAAACACTTTCATACAGATTTGGTTGGACCTCTTCCAGAATCTCACAGATACACCTTTTACTTAACCTGCATCGAACATTTCACACGATGGTTAGAGGCAGTACCCCACGAGGATGTGTCTGCTGAAACAGTTGCGAACGTTGTTGCCGAATGAAGGATCACAAACTTTTCGAGCCCATCCTCCATAACAACTGATCGCAGGCGGCAATTCGAAAGCGGCTTATTCTTCGCCCAGAATAAAATCATAGGTTGTATGCGTTTCCGAACAACAGCCTATGATCCTCAAGCTAATGGTATGGTAGAACGTCTATACAGACAGTTGGGGCTGCGTTATCAGCTGCAAACAATGCACATTGGACTGAATGACTACCGTTAGTTCTCCTAGGGATACGAAACGCCTTGAAAAATGATGCTGGTTGTACTGCTGTCGAGCTAGTATATGACACAACACTTCGATCGCCAGGTGAGTTCGTTTTCCCTTGGGCTTCCCACCATTGGTAGATCACGCCTCATACATCAGCAGGCTTAGAAACGCAGTGCCTTCAGTTAAACCTGCTCCCCTTCGACCATAGTCCACAGACGTCTTAGTACATCCGTATTTTGAAACATCTTCGCATTTATTTGTTCGTCGTGACTCTGTGCGTTGCCCTCTGCATCCCCCATAGGACGGACCGTATAACGTCATTAAACTTATTGATAAATTCTTTGTCTTAGACAAAAAGGCCGCGAAGACACAGTAAGCATCGGTTCTGAAAGCGACCTGCTTAGAAGGCAATCTCATGAGCCCAGAGCTGAGTATTCTCATTAATACACAAGTGACCGAATATCCGTTGGTCCCCGAAGAAATCACTAGCCACCAAACCTCCTATCAAGCCCCAAAAATGGGTTCTGGACGAAACGTGAGATTCCCAGAACATCTTTACACCACCACCACATAACCAAGGTATGCGATTCACTCATTTCTTATTTGTTTGTGGTGATTTTTCTATTAGGCACATCAATTTTTTTCATATTGTATTCCGCAACACAAGTAAAGACTTTCCTATAACCGTGCATGTTACATCTACCAAAAAAATTAGGTGTATACTTTTTCGATGTTTCATGTGATGGATGTGAACATCGCTTAGATTACTAGCTCGCTAGTTTTCTACCCGATTCCAAGCCGGGACAAAGAGGGAGGGTTTGGACGTGGTGCTAACAACTCCACCTCCCAGACTCAACCAAACTGCTACAGAAACTTCAATGCACCAATATGTTAAAAATACTGAAAATATAAAAAATAACCTTATTTTTCGCTAGAATCAGGGAAGTGAATGGACGCAGGCTGGTGAAAGCCTTCGGGAAGCCAGTCAGCCGATGTGCCTTCTTTCGATGAAAGCAAAAATAAGAATGGGGACGTGGAATCTTCGCACAGAAATGAGAAGATATGGAATGGAAGTGTTGGGAATCTGTGAGAGCAGATGGAACGTATGTGGTAGGTGCCAACTACCAACTGGAGAGACAATAATCTATTCCGGTCACCTAAAGGACAGACACGAGCACACCGAGGGAGTGGCTATCATGATGGCGCCAACAGCAGCCAAAGCTCTTATGCTTTGGGAACCGATCTCCTACAGGATAATGACAGCCAGGTTCAAATCAAAAGGAAGGAAGGCCAAAATCATCCAATGTTATGCGCCTACAAACGTCTCAGAACAAGAAAGGAAGGAGGATTTCTACAGACAACTACAAATAGTAATGGACAACGTCCCAAGTGGCAGTATCAAAATCCTGATGGGTGATATGAATGCAAAACTGGGAGACGAAAATACAGGAATAGAACTCACCATGGGTCGTGAGGCCCTTGATGAAATGAACGACAATGGTGAACTCTTCTCAGACTTCTGCGCCTTCAATGGTTTGGGGATTGGTGGCAGAGTGTTCAAACATAAGGATATACACAAGGCAACATGGATTTCACCAGATGGACACATCAAAAACCAAATAGACTTCATTTCAATCTCAAGGAAGTGGAAACTGAGCCTACTGGACACAAGGTGGAGGAGAGGAGCAGATGTGAGTTCAGACCACTATCTAGTACAAGGGACTTTCAAGGTGAAACTAAAAGCCTAGAGGATAGTTGGGGATAGGCCACAATGCAAGTTCAACATTCAATTACGGAATGACACAATCACAAAAGACACCATCACTGCAACTGTCAGAGCAAAGCAGGAAACACTACGCGACATCACTGAAGAATCATGCGTGGAAGACCACTGGAACTCTCTGAAGGAGATTTTCAACGAAACGTGTTCATTAGTTTTAGGAAGAAAGAAGAGGCAAGACAAGGAATGGCTCTCAACGGACACTTGGAAATTAATAGAAGAGAGGAGAATGGTGAAAGAGAAAATGATTCAATGCAAGGACGGACAGGAGAAGGAGACGCTGAGCTCAACTTACACAGCATTGGACGAAGAAGTGAAGAAGAGTGCTAGGAAGGACAAAAGACAATTCTACGACAACCTGACCACTGAAGCTGAGAAGGGAGCAGGCAAAAGGGACCTGAGGACATTATATCAGATAACCAAGTCTCTATCCGGGAAGAGATCAACACAAGTGAAACCTAGAAAAGACAGCCAAGGGAACCCAATCACCAAGGAAGAAAAACAGATTAAACGAAGGTCAAACCACTTCAAAGGACTCTTGAACCGACCATCACCTGCAAGCCGTCCAGAAATACCAACAACAGCACGTAGACAACTGCAAGTTGACACCAATCCTCAAACGGGAGCTGAAGTCTTGAATGCAATCAAGCCTCTGAAAGCTGGAAAAGCAGCTGAACCAGATGGAATACCCCCCGAAGCACTAAAAGCGGACCCATAAACTACAACAGACATGCTGACTCCATTATCGCTAAAGGTCTGCAAGGAGGGAAAGGTGCCTACTAACTGGAAGAAAGGTTACCTTGGGAAACTACCAAAGAAGGGAGACTTTAGACTCTGCAAGAACTGGCGAGGAGTAATGCTCCTGTCGACGCCAAGTAAAATCCTGAGTTTCATCATCCTGAAGAGAATAAAGGACACACTGGATGCAGAACTGCGACCAGAAAAAGCTGAATTAAGGAAAGGCAAATCATGTTCTGACCAAATTGCAACTCTACGCATCATCGTCACAGAAAAAAGCATGGAATGGCAATCAAACCTCTATCTCAACTTTATAGACTTCGAGAAGGCTTTCGACAGCGTTAACCGCGAAGTAATTTGGAAACTTCTCGAGTACTACGGCGTAACCCAAATATTCATCAATCTCATTTAACAGCTGTACGACAACGGCACATTTCACGTGATCCACAACGGAAAACTCAGCGAGGAGATTGGAGTAAACACAGGAGTCAGAGAAGAGTGACTACTATCACCAATGACATTCCTAATTTTGGTGGACTGGATTATGCATCAGACAGTGGGAAACGAGCGGTCAGGGACATCCTGGACCGACGTGAACAACCTAGAAGACCTGGATTTCGCGCGTGGATGATTTATGTTTGATGTCACACAAAATCGAAGACTTACAAGCGAAAACCGACAAACTGGTCGAAGAAGCAGCAAAGACAGGACTCCAGGTGAACATAGACAAGACGGAGGTTATGAAAGTAACCAAACAACAAAAACAGCAACATCCAGCGCCAATCACCACCAACGGGAGGGAATTGAAAGAGCTTACTTCATTCACTTACCTAGGGAGCATTGCCCCAACTACAGGAAGTCGGAACGGACGAGGATGTCAAATCGAACGAGAATTGGGAAGGCGAGAAACACATTCATCAACCTGAGACCAATCTGGAAATCTTCGTCACTCAGTCAATATCAACAACAAAATTGGGTCGGATTTTCAATACAAACGTCAAGTCAGTCAGTTCTCCTATAAGGATCAGAAACTGGGCAGGCGGGTCACAAAGAGTATTTCCAACAGCCTGTTGCAGACTTTTAACAACAACTGTCTTCGCTCTATACCCAAGGTCGGATGGCCGGGTAGAATCACCAACAA